GACATGAACTGTGGGTGACGGTTACACATGCAGAGCACGTGGATCACCGCCACATTACGCGTCGTCTGATTGGTTGATAAAACTGGACAAGCGGTTGAAGCCAATGGTGTCCAGCTCGCTAAGGAAGAGGCTCTTTTCCAGCACTTAACCCTACTGAAGAGCTTGGAAAAACCCATTGATGGTTAATGTTTATGGAAACACACAGCCAACATGAACAAACCGAGCCGCACGAGGAGGGATGGCCGGATTTCTGCGCTCTGCCTCTGCACTCTCGCCTGCGTTTTTGTTGGCTGAACAATGGCGCCATGTCTTTCGTTATTGTAGCGTCCTGTCTTGCCATCTGTGTCTCCGTACATGGCCGCACAACAGTCACGTCTTCCAGAACGCGCAGAGAACTTCGGCTGACGAAAATAAGATTTTGCCACTTCGGGCGCAGTGACACCTGGGCCTGCAAAATAAAGACTAACAGAACTGCTTGGATCCCATTATAGCCATTTGTTTATAATGGCCTGGGATTTTACGAAATACATTAAATTTACTGGCCTTTTGTGTTTTGAAATATACACAAAAAGCCCAAGCTCAATATCGGCCGACATTAATACTTAATCAGGGACATTCAAACTCTATCAACACAAGCAGCCTTAAGTATCTAGTTAAAAAAAACACACACACAATTTGCAAAGAGGTAGCAATTGTTAATTCATGAACATTAATTCATGAACATTTTAAAAGTGTTTTGGATGTCTGGAGCAGCTCACAGTGGACTTAAGGGGACGCCGTCCCTCCTGGCTGGAGGCCCAACAGATGTGCACAGTCAAGTACAAACGAGACCACGTCCATTAACAAACAGTGTGCACACTGTGCGCGAACAGATGAGAAAACAAACGTGGACGTCTCGGACATGCCGGAATGGGGGCTCGGCTGGGAGAAGGCCTCGTGATGGCCCGGGTTTTAGATTTCAGCTGTAACACCAGAGCAGCCCTTGGTAAGTGAAACATTTATAGGTGCCAACGTGCACCCGTGAGTCTAAATCACCCTTTGAGTGAAACAAATAAAAATAAAAAAAAGCATTCCAGTGAAAGAATTATGATGCAAAAGGCTAAATGAGCATACAAGTGAATGTTCTAGGATGCTAATCATCTACCAGGAGGTTCAACTTGACCGTAAATTTGAAAAGAAGAACAGAATTGTCTCCACAATGAGGTAGTGTCGTGCCCTGTTATAATGACTTACGACGCTCACATAAACACTGCCACAAATAGCCCATGTAGGATGGTTGCTTTTGTGGGGACTTCTAAAAAGAAGTTGGAGAAACATGCCACATTAAGACAGAAAAATATCAGTGGTACACGTGGGAAGAAAAGGCAAACAAAACAAAAAATAAATTGAGTTTAGAGCAGCAGTTTAAGTCAACCGGGTGTTTATTCTCCCTCCTGGCTGAGGAAGAATCCACTTAGCAGGGATTTTACCGCAGCAAGAGTAAACTATGAGCTTTGCATCGGCGAGGGCTTGTGAATGGGCCAAACACACTTCCTGTGTCCCTAAGACTTAAAGTAGAGGAAACCCAACCTTTCATGCTGAAGTCCCGCCCCATCGGCCCATCCGAGCGCCGTCACCAATGATTAGAGTCGGTGGTGGGGAGATTATAGCCTATTAGCACAGAGCCAGATGACCAGTGGTAACCTCTCCACAGCGCTCAATATATTATTTATCGGAGGACAACCTGCTTTCTCTTGTAATTCAAAATGATGGCCCTTCGCGGCCACCGGGCCAGCAGCGGTCTCAGTGCTCGGGCCCGTTGCACTCAGTGGTCGCCATTTAATCAGTCCCACGCAGCAGCTCTTTAAACAGTCATTATCTCTCGCTGTCATTCCTCTACTTGAACCACTTAAAAAGGATTCGCTTTCCTGCCACTGTCACAAAAGGAGAGTCATGCACGTAGCATAACGTCCTGTGCACACACACACGCAATTACTACATCTCACTTCTACAGTCATATGCGGCACACAGGTAACTGCACTTGCTCAGACAATAAAACCAGTTCAGGATCAAAGCTGCACATTTGGAAATATTTGTTACAAGCTGAACAGGAGGGAATGCCTCTGTATATGTCAAGAGGACTAAAGAGATTGTCGGAGTAAGCATGTCAGCAGTTGCTAAGCAAGCCAGAGATCTAGACTGGAACTGCAGTGCAGAAAGGTGAAAGCAGATGTGTGGTAGGCAGCAGCACTTACACGAGCGTCCGTCAGCCGCTGAGGCGTGTGGTGTCTCTGTGTAAGTGTGTGTGTGTTGGTTGGTGTGTGTGTGTGTGTGTAGTGAGGGGGGGTGTCAAGGGGCATCGGACGGATATCACATCGCCCTGTGCAAACTAGTGATTACCTTCCCTCTGGCACCGGCCAGATTAAGCTGAGGCAAGCAAGAGAGGGGCAGTGAGACGCGTTTCAGCCTGGTTTGGGCCTGGCTGGCTTCCGTATCACACCACCCTGAGCTCAACAGACGTTGCACACTCTCACCACACCCACCCCCGCCTCCCTCCCTCCCTCCACCACCACTCTGCCTCTGACACTGAACGTGCAGGCTCTGCCACATAAACACGATACACAGGCGCACGCATACAGTCACAGGGAGGCCCGGCGCATGTGCAGGCGCACACATGCAAATGAACGTGTGCGCACGCTGCTGATCCGGAAAGGTTTAAACAAACTACATGGGCCCGCGTTAACTGATGCTGTGCTCAGTTTGAATTTGACTATCAAAGTGGAAAGATAGAAGGCTTTAGCGTCTTGGGTATGATGGGCCGCGCCCGCGAGAAAAGCAAAATATTCAACCAAACATAGGTGAGGTGCAGCCACAAGACAAAAAATGTTCACCTCTTAGTTGTCGAAAGAGGAAACAAAGCTTGTTTTTTTTGTTGGGCTCTGGTCATATTTTTACTTTTGTAAGCCCAATCCTTAGGAAGTTAAAGGTATTCGTTCACAAGGTAACAACTCATGCCTAGTAGGTACGACATTGTATGCTGAGAGAGCCACGCAGACTGCGTTCAGCACTTAGGGCCACCCACAAAATGAGAAAGAGTGCGCACGCACTGCTGAAACAGCAATACAGCTCTCATAAGCAGAACAGCCATATGGCTCAGAGAGCACCCTGACCAGACAAAATTAAATCACTCAAGTCAATACCAAGTGATACTGGCTGGTATCTGTATTGTGCATCATTCATTCACACCTACAATTATCTTTGCAGACGTGCAGACGAGTAGGCGTGTGTGCCTGTGCTGCACTATCATAGGAATTCAAGTACCGGTACCTCAAAAGTCTAAACATCTCTTCCTTGATGTTTCAAATTGATTAAAACTACAATTTAAACTACTATTAAAAATTAACCTGTCATAGAAGCAGAGATTTCCCTGTTCGATAAAGGTGGGAGTCTACCACATTCCACCATTGGTTGCCTGCCATGGAAACAAAATGGGTGTGGCAAAGCCACCGCTGTCTTCAATTAAATATTGAGATAGGACAAAAGAATAGGTTTACAATAAATTATTCACGCATGGAGCAGCAGGGCGTTGGGATGTAGTGACAGGTAAAAGACGCCCCGATCCCTCTTCGGAGGATGTCTCTCGGTGTAATTTTACAACTGAACAATTCAGCTTTGGTAACAATTCAGCTGCCTTGGCTTTTCATTAGTTGCCTTTGACGCCACCTGCAACCTTACACCGGCGAATTTTCATATTAATGCACAGCAAAGGTGCCAGGTGGGGCTGTCTGTTGGAGTTTCTCTCTATGTATCATCCAGTCAATAAAAGACAAAAAAATTAACCTAGAAACTATGCCTGTATATTTATATATATATATATGTAGATCAGAGGTCGGCAACTGTTCTTGTCTTGGCTCAGCTTTAAAGACCCAGTAATTCGCTTTGTCTAACTGGGGTGGGGGTTGGGGGTGGGGGTGCCGGCTCCAAAGGCAGAGCCGCCATGCTCTCCAGTTTGCCGGTAGGCCGCGGGCTTTCAGCACCCCTCGCTCCTGGACAGCTCCGTCCAATCAGCACCGCTCTTTGGCAGCGCGTCAGCCTTCCTCATCCCTCCTCATCCTCCCTCCCCGCCATCACCGAGGCATGGCGGCGGACAAAAAAAAAAGAAAAGAAAGAAAGAAAGAAAGAAAAAAAGCTGTCTTTCAGCACCGGCTTCCGGCCGAAGCGTCTAATTTTTTTGTTCTTTTTTCCCCCTCATTCATTCAAACACAGCGGCCGTTAGAGCCGTTAGCCGCCGCCTCGCTCAGGTGGACACCGAAGGATGTGAAACGAGAACCTACCGGGGGGGGGTGTGGGGGTGGTAAATGACGTGTGTCCGGTTTCTAAGCACAATGTCACCCGACCTTAGCAACTGTCAAGGCCCTCAACGCACACGCTCACAATATTATTTTACGGAATAAACCCTCGTGTCAAAGCTGGACTCCCTTTAAACGCGTTTCCTTCAACAGACAAATTCGGCCCCTCGTCTCTGCCCGCGTGCGTTGAGCCGCGTGGCATCCCAATTCTGCCCCTGCACCTGCTTAGAGGTGGCCACGGCCAACCTGAGAGCCTCCCTCCGTGTTTACAGCGCTGCTTTAAGCAGCCCCACAAGCAGAAAACCCAAGCAACACGCCGACATGTCGAGGCTTGAACTCACACACGTGTCGTCCGGGGCAGACATTTAAAAAAGAAAAAGCCGTCGGCGTCGTTAGGAGTGCAGGTCAGAGGGGCCAGCAACCGCAGTGTATGTATACACTCCAAGTAGATGCTCTGGGAATAGAAAACACCGTCGTTTTACAAAAGAAGAAGAAAAAGAAAAAGAAGAAGAAGAAGAAGGGGGGGGGAAGCCGGTAGCGGCACATGATGGGAGGCAGGTGCGCCGCCTTTAGCCGCAGCCTGGCTAAGCTAATACCGGGAACCAGAAATGAATGGAAGGAGGAGGTGGTGGTGGTGGTGGAGGTGGGGACAAAAAAAAAAGCCAAACTCACCTAATATGATCCAGAGCGACCCAGAGACCAAAACGAATGCGAGCATGTCTGTCTCATCGAGTCAGGCGGGTCCCGGTCAGCAGCGGCTCAGGACTGCGGCACCGACTGCAGCAGGTCGCCGGCAATCTGGGAGATTAAGGAGGGGGAGCTGAGAGGGGGCCGACGATATATCTGAGACGGAGCACAGTGGGGGAGCCCGGCCAGGGGGACGGCGACGGCCCGAAACGAACGCACACACACACACAAACACACAAAAAAAGACTCAAAGCAAAAGTCAGCCGCGCTGAGTGGAGAAACGGAGCCCGGCTGCCTTCTCGAGCATCCCCTCGCGTCGGTGGATTTTGCACTTCACCCAGTTGGCCGCTACGCGACGGAAGACATCCTCTCTGACATTATGAGGATTGTAGGTCGGACAGTCGACGCCAAGGTTATTTAGGCCGAAGGGGGTTTATTCTGGATATTTCACAAGAACGTCTCAACGAGGGTTATTTGAACAAAGACGCACAACTATTCCAAAATCCACCATAAAATGCAATAATCTATCATTTGCATATCATCGTCTCGTTTGTGTTTGAGAATAAGAGAACTGAGGGGGGGGGGGGGGGGG